TCTGGTTTGATTAGGGTTCAAGTAGATCCTTGAATATTGTATTCTAAATTCAGGGAATATGATTCCCAGTTGGGAGAAGGTAGGAAATTTTTGAAATTCGCCCCACCCATTCCGCAACCTTTATGGCGTCCATTAGATGGATCCTACCATTCTTTCACATCGTATTGAGGCCATTACTGGGGAGAGATGTGCCCGATAGGGTAGGTTTGTATAGAATACAGTCTGAATGAGGTTCCTGTAGGACTACTAAATCCTGGGCCTAATTGCGACTTTCAACCACTAGTCCCTGAACATACATCCTCAACTCGTCTCTGCTAAGAGGGGTCTCTGATGTGTGCGTATGCTACACATCATTTTTATTGCTGTATACATGGTTTTAATGATGTTTTGCAATGGTTTTTACCCTAATTGAGCAGAATTCCAGGAAACTAAGAGTTTGGGACAATCTAGGGCCTGACTATGACTATCTGTACAAATCGGTGCCCTCAGCAAGAAGATAGATGAAATGCAGTTGGCAGCCATGCATGTTCAGACCGTAGTTTGTGATTGGTGTGGAGGAGGTCATATCAGCACTGAATGTCAAGTCAGAAATCAGTTCATGCAGTCCCCTGAGCAAGTAGATTTTGTTGGTAATTTGCAAAGGCAGCAAGGCAATCAGTACTCTCGTGCATTCAACCCCGGATGAAGGAATCACCTCAATCTGTCTTGGAAAAATCAAAATGCGGTGAAACCCTTTCCCCAAAATTTCAATTAGCTAGAGAAGAAATCCAATCTAGAGGAGCTGATGACCAAGTTCATAGCAAGTGCAAAAACGAGATTTCAGAACCAAGAGGCATCAATCAAGAACTTGGAAACTCAAGTGGGGCAGTTGGCACAGATGATATCTTCTAGAGTCCAAGGCGCTTTACCCAACAATACTGGAGCAAACCCAAGAGAGCAGTTGCAAGCCATTATTTTGAGGAGTGGTAAGGAGCTGCAAGAGGTGGAGAAGAAGGCAAAGGAAGAAGGTAAGGTGAGTGCAACCCTAGAAACCGAAAAGAAGGAGAAAGAGCAATCTAATTCAAAGAAAGAGAAAAGTCAACAGCCGCAAGTACCATTTCTAAATAGGCTAAGGCAACACAAATTGGAAAAGGAATTCGGTAAGTTTCTTGAAATTTTTAAGAGTTTACATATTAACATTCCTTTTGTAGATGCTTTAGCCCAGATGCCACACTATGCAAAGTTCCTGAAGGAGATATTGGCAAACAAAAGGAAACTGGGAGAYRTGGCTACASWTGCATTGAATGAAGAATGCTCAGCAATCCTCCTCAACAAGCTGCCTCAGAAATGGAAAGATCTAGTGAGTTTCACTACTCCTTGCACTATAGGCAGTTTGAAAATTAATAAGGCACTGTTTGATTTAGGAGTTAGTATAAATTTGATGCCATATTCAATGTTTAAGAAATTGGGGTTGGGTGAACTCCAACCCACTAGAGTTGCATTGCAGTTAGCTGATAGGTCCATAAAGCATCCTAGGGGAATCATAAAAGATGTGCTTGTTAAGGTTGACAAATTCATTTTTCTTGTAGATTTCATAGTGTTAGACATGCAAGAGGACGTTGATGTCCCTCTTATCATAGGGCGACCTTTCCTAACTACGGGGAAGGCAATGATTGATGTCCAACAAGGGCAACTCAGCCTTAGGATTCAAGATGAGGAAGTAATTTTTAAAATGTCTGATGCTATGAAACATGCACCTTCTAGTGATGATTCATGTTACATGATTGATGTTATTGATTATGCGGTTGGTGGTTGTTTTCAGGTTAACAAGTGGGCCGATCCCCTTGAACTATGCATACAAGAAGGAGAAGCCATAATGGGAGGCAACGAAGAGATGCAAAGCATGGTGGCATATCTGAATGCCAATCCGCAGTTTCAAGGGAAGATGTTCATTAAGTTGGAGAGCTTGGACAGACCCTCGATGCCAAAAAGAAAGTTTTCAATCGAAGAGCCGCCCACCCTTGAGCTGAAGCAACTCCCACCACATCTAGAGTATGCTTTCTTAGAAAGAACCATCGGCCCTACCAGTGATCATATCAGCAGCCTTTACCCCTTTGCAGAAAGAAAAACTGTTGCGGGTGTTACGGGAACACAAGACAGCTTTGGCTTGGAAGATAGCAGACATCAAGGGCATCAACCCATCCATATGCACTCACAAAATTCTGATGGAAGATGGAAGCAAGCCCTCGGTTCAGCCCCAAAGACGCCTGAACCCGAACATGAAGGATGTGGTGAAGGCAGAAGTCATCAAGTTGCTAGATGCTGGTATCATTTATCCGATCTCCGACAG